GGGAAAAGTGCGACAAGTGAAAAAAAAAAATAGAATTTTAGTATGAAAGAATAAACAAATTCATTTAGCTCAGTCGCGACAGGTAGGTATGTTCAAGAGCCGCAGCGAGGACTGCTCGTATTACACAGAAGACGTATACGAGCTGCCGTGGGTGTGTCCCTCTCTCACAAAGCCCCGTCCGCGCCGGTGTGTCGGCGTTAATGAAACACGTCCACCGTTGGCAATTGTCCCGCCGCAGGCACGACAACGTCCGAACGTAAAAGGGAGAGGCGCTAGCTGGTTGGCTGCTGTATTCCGCTCCGTTTCCATCAGGTTGCATCTAGCGCGGAGCTAGAGAGGGGTCCCCGGCTATTCTCCCGGCGTTTCGTGAATTTAAATGAGCCGGGCCTGTCCGGCTTAATTCGCGTGCACCTCATAAGAAGCGGAGTCATAATCTCCTCCCCTCCCCTCTCTCTCTCTCTCTCTCGCCGCACGCTCTATATTTTTGTTCCGTTATTGGAGTGTAACGTCGCGGTCTGTGACCGTTGCGTGCTTTTTTCGATGCAAAATGTAACCGGGCTCGTTTTGCGCGCGTCAGTCCGACAAAATGCAAAAATATAATATCGCATCTCATCTATACATGTATCAGACTTTCTGTGATATTCATCGTGTTTATTGTATCACGTTTGCACAATCATACGTGGCATTTCTATGCGCGAGCGGTGCAGTTTTATTCATCGAATTTTCGAAGGGATATATCGCGCGTTGAAATCAGTTACGTTTGTCCCGCATAGCAAAAGACACGCGCGCGTATATTCATTATTCACTTTTCTTCTGTATCGGATAACGTACATGTGTGTGTGTGTGTGTGTGTGTGTGTGACATGTTCGTGTCTCACGTGTCCGTGTCTCGCAACGAATTCTAATTGTCACATACATTTCCGCATTACGCGCGCCTCGTCGCCGCCGTAACAAAACGAGCAAGCGCTTGATCGGATACCGGAAAACCCTCTTTCGGTGCACTCACGTTACTGGCTTCGTCTGAGACGAAGGAACGGCTACCACGTCTCGTCTTCCACCCGTGGAAAAATGCCTGCGGAGAGCGCGGGTCACGTACGGCGGCGCGATAACGTAGTCGCTCTTTCCTCTATTCCTCTTTCTCTTCTTCTCACGTACTCGCGCTCATCCTCTCTCGTTTTCCCATTCAAGTCTCGGCCCGTTTTCGTTTTCTCCACCCTTTCTTCCCCCTTCCCCCCCGGTCGTCGTATTCAAAGTGCGAGGAGCAAAAGGAAAGAGCCGCGTGCACAAAGATCACATGCCTCCCAGATTGAGGCTGCAGGGTAAACGTTCGTGTTTCCTCGTACTCTCTCTCCTTCCGGGAACGTTTCTGTCTCGCCTCCGTCTCCGGGATCTCCGGCTTGCTCTCTCACTTTGAGCAAATCTGCGTGAAAATGGAAAGAACGTCTGGTACGGTAACCGCCCGCTAAAAGAGAGAAAGAGAGAGGGAGAAAAGTGTGTAACGTCGGACGACGTACACATTTTTATACATACGCGCAAGCGTATTCGCGACTACCGATGTGCAGCCGAGCGTGAGTATGAGCGAAAATGTAAGTGAGAAAAAAAGAGATAGATAGATAGAGAGAGAGAGAGAGAGAGACAACGAGGAGAAGAGCGATGTAAGAGGTAACGGTGGCGAATATCAGAGCCCTTCTGATGACAGCGCGAGGTCGAATAACGAGGCCCCGCCATCCACGATAGGACACGGTTCGGAGTTGAAAATTACTTCCGCGTCACGGAGCTTTTCCTGCGGGGCCAGACGACGACGACGACGACGACAACGACCTTCCAACGACGAGCACCAGCCGGAGGTGAGTTATGATAGTCTATCGAAGTAAGTTCGTTACCGATGAGATTCTTGATTTTCTATTTATCGGGCGACCGTAAGGCAGCCGGGGTAATAAGTCTCTCTCTCCATAGCCGTTGCCTCTCCCGGACGAAATTAGTTCTTGAAGGAAATATATTGCGGATGCCGGGGTAAATACTGAAAAATCCCGGCTGGTGCTTTAAGTAATCTTTTTTCTATTACGACCGGCAATTTGCGACGGAGCGCGATAAATCCACGCGAGCGAGTGAATTTTAACACTTATGCTTGGTAATATCATATCGCGACATTGAATAATGTTCGCGGAAAAATGGAGTGCCGTACGATGAAGAGAGCGGCAGCGGCAGCGGAAGCGTAGCTCGGGAAGATAATTACTGAAAGAGGGCAAATAGAGAGAAAAAACGTTTATGAATGAAAAATTCATAAATAGAGAAATCAAGATAGGGAGTGAAATTCCTTTTCTTTCTTTTTTCTTTTTTTTTCAGATTCCATTTTATCCCCTTCCCTCGCCTCAAAGATGAAAGAAAGAAGGAACCACCGACGAAGTTTATTAAAGGCCGTCGAGAAAGTGCACCGCATTTTCTCGCTTGATCGCCCACTGATCTCGCGTTATCGTTAATAGGTTTGTGCACATGCATTCTGTGAGCGCATTACGCGAATAAAGATGTAACAGTGTGCGCGCGTAGTATGAGCACAGTATGAAACGCGGATTCACCGATAGTATTTGAAAAATGAACCACACTCATTACGATTGATTATGACTTACTGCATCGTTTCAGTGAGAGCGGAATAAATGCACAAACTTTCTCCCTCTCTCTCTCGGTCTCTCTCTCTCTCTCTCTCACTCTTTTTTTATTGTGCATCCATTAAAATTCCATTTACCAATGGCAGCTTGCGGCTCGTAGGATAATAGCTGCACCAGCACTCGATGTCCGATAGAATAGCGTTAACTACCGATTTACCGTCTTCAATTATGCTGTTTGATCGATTTAGCGCGAAAATTTCTTCTATGTTCACGTGAATAATTCACAAGTCACTTTATCACAAAAATCCACGTGAACGATTTTGGTCTTATAACAACGCGTGTAAAGAATTTATTATTGCGTTTAATGCTGTTTTCGTTTTGATTATTTTCACTCTGTGCCACAGTTTCATTTGTTTTTACATTACCGCAATCTTTTGGCAATATTTTTCTTACTAGGAGTAAAATGAAGAAGAGAGAACGCTTGCCGCGTGCTGTGTTATCTCTCTCAGTGTTTTGTTTTATGACACACATATATTATTGTTTAAGAGAACGTGTCAAGTAAACGAGCAACGGAACTGCTCGCTCGAAAACGCACTTATTTAAACGCGTGTCACTTTAAGAGACACGTTCGTAGAACTATCGCCGTGCGTAGGTTTCGTCGCCGCGAGCAAATCGCTTAACCGTCGTGATGTATTTTGACGGGCTAATGGATATCGCGTACGGATTATCATGCTAAAGAGACGTTAATTAACACGTCGCATCCAGTAATGGCCGCTCATCCGGGACAGAGGTTCTCATTTATGCAATACTCGCGCAATATATCGCGCATTGAGTTTCCTATATATTAAGAGAAACGGAAATCGACAGCAATATCGCGAATGCCATCAAAACAAGCTTTACATTCCGTGTAATATTAGTGTACTCTGTCAGAAATTGCGGATGGATCGGGGCTAATGTAAAGATAATTATAACTTTATATCAGCGTAAGTGCAATCGCAAACTCAATAGAGAGAAAAGAAATAAAATATAAAAGTGCAATTTTATCAATAAATTTTCGTCATATTTTCTAAAGTAAATATTGCTCGCTAGAACGAATGTTAACAGTTCGCGCGTTTTGTTTAATTACGCTAACAGAACGCAACTATTTTACAGTCGCCTCCATTTACACAATTGGCATGACTTTTTAAATGCCCCCACATCAAACAAAAATGGTAGAATTCTTTTGTAATTGGTTGCAGTATAAAAAAACCGTTAAAAAACTAACTGTAAAAAATAAAACGATTATAAGATATTGTAAAATATTGACTAAACAAAAAATAAATTATTTAATATTTCTCTAGTATATCAAATTAAAAGCAAACAGCTCGTAGCTTTATCAATTTGTAATCGGGCTGAATAATCCAAGAGAGGAAACTTGAGTTAAATCCAGGAAATCGAGCCGTTTCATACGGAATCTGTTAATTTCCCTTCCCGACATGTGCGGTGCACGTTCAAAGTGAAATGCAAGGACGTTAATATATATCCCAGATATATATTAAGTATAAATAGAAAACTTGGAAGATATATTTTCCGTTACATTCGGCAATAGCGAAGCAAGATTAGTGCACCGATGTATACACAAGATTAGCTAGCGCAGCGCGATCTGCATTTACATCGAACCGCTATATCGAGCAATCTGTCTTCACAATATGACACAAAATGATGAGATTTATTGGCAGAAAATAAATTTCGTTCTGCGATTTTCCAATATTTCATCTTCAATTCCCATCGCACAGCGTTCGCATAAAATTCACACGAAGCGTCGAGAAGAATCGAATTTCGGCACGTCGCCGCGAACTTAAAATGAAATCCGATTGAAAAGTCTGGCGATTATTTACAGTATCGCGCACTAAAACGAATTGAAACGTCTCGTGGAGAGTGGGAAAAAATATGCAATTTACTCCGTATAAAAAATAAAAACAATGCACATTTTGCGCAATGTTCTTTCAAAGATTTTTATATTTGAAATAATCGATTTTTTCGCGCGCACGCGTGTCTGGCTTTTGTTTTTTAAATTACATGTATTTTTAATATAACACCGTAAGTGTATCCCACACATTTTCATATTTTTAAGTTCTACGTGAATAAACGTCGTTTCTCGGTTTTAACGAAATATAAAATATTTTTCTTGATACATTTCTTGTTGCTTCGTAAATACGAGAGTGTGTGTAGCTGAACCGTGTTTAAAAGGACATGTACTTCCGCGCTGAAACTACACGAGCGTCGTATACCCGTCGATAAAGAAATTCAGGAAATCACCTAATATCTGCAGACGTGCAGTCAATTCCGGCTTACGGTCCCCAGGAAAGAAATCTCGAGCGTGATTCGATCGATGACCCAGCCAGATGGTACCTACCTCCATGCCACGTCGATTCCTCCATCGCACCCACTTGTTGAGCCCCGGCCGCCAATACTCAACAAAGTACTCCTCGGTGTACTCGACCCCGTGACCATTGCCGAATCTGCCCTGCGTACGAGCGGACGTCAGTAAACGCGGTGTGTGCAGATCCACTTCCAGATACTCCTTGCCTTCCTTAGTTACCATGTGTTTGGGACACCAAGCGCCACCGCCTTTGTCCTGTCGTAGCCTGGGAAACCGAGAAATAATACCACAAGTTATTAGGAATGCTCTTGAGGCAGGCAGGTAAGGTACGTCGCGTGAAGACACGCGAGGAACGTAACTACGCGCGGATATGCGAGGGTGTGCATTGTGTTCGCGTGACAAACGTATACACGTTCTCGTCATGTTTTCCTAACCAAGTGCGAGTGATCACAGCGATCACCTCGTCACGTATCCAAGTTCAAAAAAAAAAAAAAAAACAGTTAAAAATGATACCCGGAAGATACATCTATCACGATTATCGCAAATTTATTATGTGGATGATATAATTAATGAGCCTCTCCCGTCCTGGTTTTCTTTCAGGATCAACAGCCGCCGCTGTATATAATAAATTAATGACGAGGCGATTGATTTACGAACGATCTTCGAATCGGAACGCGCTCTATACGTCACCCGCGAAGTTCGCTCGCGATATTGATTATGAATAACTTATTTTGCACCAAAGCTTTTATCGTGATAACAGCTTTCTTGTGGACAGAAGAAAATGGAAGTAATTTTTCCCGAGTTCGTGACGCACGCAAAAAAAAAAAAGAGAAGGGAGAAAGAAGAGAGACCAACAGTTAATAGATTCTAAGAAGAAATCTCGCAATCATGAAAAATTTGTATTTTATAAATCACACAGAAAAAACCAACAACTTTATAATAATTCTCTTATTATAGAAAAAAAATTTACAAATGTACGTGCCGCGCACAATTTGTATTCTCAAGATAAAAAAAATTGTGATACACTACAAGAAAATATTTTATTTTTGAATGTATTTCTGACAAACTAACAAGAGATTTCAAGAATTAAGAATAACGGATGGTGGAGCGGTAATGCACGGGAACCGTTATTGACTCAGCTAGAATCAACAGTGGTCCGAAGAGAACTTCGGAATAAAACTCAAAATTATTTCGCAGACCAATAAACCAAGTTTCCACTCTGATTGTGTCAGTAAAACAAACTGGGGGAATTAAATTATCCTCAGAGATTTTCTTTTCTAAAAAAGTTCTTACACACACACACACACACATACCGTGTAATATTCCACGTATGTTCTCTATGTATATATCATTTTTCATTCTCTTCATATATGTTAATTTATCTCTTTGTATAACACAATGTTGAGAGCATGGATAATTTACACACATGTGACGCGAAACACATATCCATGAATTTTCGAATTGACTTCAACTCAAATTAATAATGTGTAATAATTTACACGTTAACAAATCTATTTCGCGCACGTGAACCCAGCACATGCACCCACATTGATCGAGAAACTCTTTGCTAGTTTGATATCATGTGAGCTTAAAAATTTGTAAATTTTTAAGATTAAAAACACACTTTCAAATATTAAACGCGTGCGTTCTGAGAAATACGCGGAAGTTGTCGGGAACGCACATGCAAGAATAAGCATTTTTCCTCTTCCTCTCGAGGAGTGCTTATTTTCAATTTTCTGAATTTTCAGAAAAAAGTTAGTTTCTCCAAAACGTGTCTGCTCTCTAAATTAAACTTCAGAAATCTCGCTAGAATTTCGTGAGTACATCGTTCTAATTAAATCTCCTAACGAAACAACAACACGCTAATATTACGAAAAATTTTAGAAAAAATCGTAATCGTACTGTTATCAGGTGTTGTTCCCGACGCGTCGCGTCATAAGATATAGAAATCCACCATGAAATACAAACACATATATATATACATATCCACATGCATAGTAATGTCACAAAGGGAGAGAGAATCTCTATGGAAATATTTCAGCTGGTCCAGTCATGAAGGACTGCTATACGTATAAACGCCCTGCCCGCATGTAAACAATAGACCCAAGCGAAACCCACTGAAAGCGTTCGCGGTTAATTAGGCAGCAATGCTGTTAACAATGTCCCGGATTTCAGCGAGCCTTCTCGTAACCTTGCGCCACAGCGTCGCGCGCCCGTGCCGCGATCCGACGAGAACATGAAATTTCTTTCAAGTAAATTCCGAAACCACCATCGCTCTTCTTCACAACAAATTTCACGACGATCAAAAATGACGTTAATTATCCGTAACCGAAATCTTAATCATCATAGGAGAAATTTGAAATTTTCGCGCTTAAATGCACACAACCAACATCAAATACTGAGAGTGGTGGATTGTCTTATACACACATCAGCAAACGTATAGAACACATATTCACTATGTAACATCGATATATAAACAATAAGATGTTATATATATATATATATATATATATATATATATATATATATATTTGTATTATATAGTCGCTATACGTTCTGTGTTTACTGAGATGCGTTATTTATTGCAAATCGATTTATTGAAATTTCTATTCGTCGTGCTATTTATTCGGCTACACACAACGATGATATCTTTTCCTTCTCTTTATTTGCAGTCTCTCTCTACTTATCATCATTATCTATTCATCTCAATTTCTCACACATGTGGTTCTTCAATTTCACGTGTAATCTCTCAGAGAGAAAGTAAATTAAATTTTGCTCTGAATTTTAGAGGGAGAAAGAGAGTAAAAGATATTGACGCGCACGTGTGTATGTTCTATTAAAATATTTGCATTTAAAATATTTGTACATAAAGAGAAGCTATTTTAGCGCATTTAGCGTTGACTAGTATAAACTCACAGATAGAACTAGTATAAACTCACAATTTTTTTATTGAATTTTTTTCATTTTTCTTATACAAGAAACAAAATCATAAAGTATTAACGCATATTAACTTCTAGATTTATATATTAACATATGTGTTTATAATAAATTCTGCAACGTGACTTGTTGACGAGATGTGAACGAAAAATCGCGTGAAAAACGTTTCGACACAGAACGTGTTAAATTCCGTTTTATTTACGAATCGGAAAAATAATTTCAACGATTCTGTGATAACATCATTTTCATTACTTCGTTATTTCGAGAAATGACTTTTGGTAGGGTAGATACAATATCGATCCGTGTTGTAGCACTTCCGTCCGTTAATTGCACTATCAACGTTTCCAGATGCTTCGTAAGTCGGACGTAAAAATAAAAGAAAGCGGCGTTCTGGGAGTCGTAAAAATTCTCTTACGTGCTTTCTTCGAACCTGAAAGATTCATGGCTCAGAAGTGTTGGACGCCGTTAAATGTAAACGTGAGTTTGGAAACGCACTGCTTAGAAGTTTTTTGCGTCATAAAAAGAAATGTTTAATAAAAAGAAATGAGTCGAATATCACTATCCATTGGGTTTTTACGAACTAAAATACTATATAGATATTTATAATTAAAACAATGTTAACGCGAGATTGTAACAGTTCTAAGAACAGAGTCTTAATTTGAAGAGATCGCGTAATCGCACTTACGAGACACTCTTTCCACGATTTGAAAGAACAAAAATATCTAATCTTTATAATATTTTAAAAAAATTTTATTCTACGATGTAAAGAAAATGTAAAATAATGTACAATAGCACGTAAAGAGGTTAAGTAAATTTTTCACAGTTTTGTTATCGATTTACACAAGCGACAAGAGAAAGTTGTAGATGTGACACAACGCTAAACGCATATCGAGTTTGTGGTTTCTTCGAAAAGGGGCGCAGAGTGCGATCTTAATAGAAAGTCAATATTCTCTTCGGCACAATTTACGCGCAGTCAACGAACTGACCGATCGAAGCATCCCTTGTGGTACTTCAAAGTAGTCTTCTCGAGGAATATATGAAGGGTGAAGGAGGCAGAGGGGAAGAGAGAGAGAACTCGGGGAGCCCCGACACCAGAGGCCGACCAGAGGCATTACGCCGTCTCATCAGTCGAAAGGTGCATTAGCATTGCTAATGACCCGCGATCGTTACCGCCACACGCCGCGCAATCCGCAGCTACCATCCCGAGGCTGCTTTGCGCGCGCGGCACGTTTGTTATTTTGGAAGTGGGCCACGGCGCACTGGGAGGGAGAAACAAGATTCCAAGGGGCAGAGGAGGGAGACAAGGGACGATACGATGAGGCACCTCCTCGCCGCCCTAGTTAGCCCGCAATAATTTTCGCACGACAATATCTCGCAGCGTCACGTAGATATGCGTCTATTGTTTCATTCAGCGAAACTACCGACGGGTACACATCGTTTCGGGTCGACCCGCCCACAGAGCAGAATTTTCCAGCTGCCTTTCGCGCGAAATTTCCGCTATTAACAAATTGACGCGTCAAGCTGCCTTTGTTTTCCGCGTGTTTGCGGGATTTAAAGCGCTCTCTCTCTCTCTCTTCTTCCGGCACAAAATATCATCTTCGCAATTCTGTAAAACCGACCTTTAATCCGTTCAATTAGGGTTATTGTTTTATCACGATAAATACAGAAGATTTTCACGAGAGCGATGTTCCCCCAGCTGAATTAATATGCCGAGAGAAATACGTAATATGTTCGTTTGCGAAACGGGTAATATCGTGTGTATGCGCGTATAAAATATTGAATAAAAAAAAAAAAGACATTTCGAATTGTCGCGATCAATAAAATACTCTTTTTTGGTTTTTTTTCAAACCTCTATATCTCTTTGTATATATGTTCTCATTCATAATTTCGCGCGTTCGTTATTTCAAACACGTATACACACGTACACTTACGTGTGTGTACGTGTGCGTATCGCTACGCGATATCTAACGTCCGATTTCACTCGGAAAACTTTGAATTTTCCAGACGCAACAGAAACGTTGCGCGCCGATCACCTATACCAACCTCTTCTTTAAAGCATATTTATATTCAGGTCGCGCACACGAGGTCCGCTTGCTTTTCTTCTATTATCTCCCGGCGCGCCCAAGCTTTACTTCGGAAGAGCTACTCTCTCTCTCTCTCTCTTCCGGCGCGCGAATGGCCGGTAAAAACTAATTAAATTTTCCCGTAATATGACGATTTCGATGATAACCGTTATTACGTTTTCGCCGGGCGACAGTTTCTCGACGAGAAACGCGAAACGAATAAAACGACGACAAGACGCGCCCCCCGCCGTACGCAACGCGCGCACGACATTTTACAACCGCTTTGAGGCTAATCCCCGCGCTAATTAGACGCGAAATGAGCAACGATTACGTCACCCGGTGAAGGACAAAAACACCCCTACGTACCCGACGCGCCGGGCTATTCCGGAAACAAATGTTCCCGGCACGAACTCGGCAGAAGCTCGGCATGAAAATGTGTCAGCGGTAGGCGGCAATGCGCGCTCTCTCAGACAAAAGATTAGGATCACTCGCAGATATGAGGAGAGATGTTTACTCTGAAAGATGTATGGTTTGTCTTTTTTCGTTACACACGCGGCTTTGTTCTCAGAGAAATAGCTTGAGAGAGCCTTGTGATGATAACAGCGCAGTGTGTGCCGGTGTGTGTGACACACATATTCGTTTTCCTTCCCATAGTCCGTGCACACAATACGCATTAACGTACGCGTCAAAGCGGCGATATACGATACACAACGAAATATTTTTGTGCCTATTACTCGACACAGAACCGAGATAGAGAAGAGCGAGAGAGAGGTTTGAAGACCGTATCAAGGGATACGTCACCTTGAAAAAGTATTTTTGCAAATCACAGTATGACTCTACGTGACTGCGCCGTACGGCAACGGAACAAGTTCACAGATGACCTGGTCCTCACGGTCCATTCGCTTGATCGAGCTTTCCAGATAACATGTAGGACCCATCATGGAGTCTGCACCTGCACAGTGTGCGAGTGCGCGCGCGCGCGCACACCCGCGTTCGCAGATGTTACGTTCTAACACAGCATCACAGGTTATAGCGTGTCGATGTGGAGAAAGAATCGTATATATTCGTGCGCGGCAGTGCTCTTCCACGTACAGATCCGTCGTCGTTCCTTCTCTGTTCCGAGCTTGCGGGCATTGTTATCGAATATGCCAGGAATGCCGCTGCCGAATATGCCATCAGCCAAATGATCCGTAAAAATTCCGGCTGGCCTGTCCGATTTTGCGCGAGCGCGAGCGATTTTTACTTTTTTCCTATGTGTATGTATATATGTAATATATATATATATATATATATATATATATACACACACACACACACACACACACACACACATATATATATATATATATATATATATATATACACACACACACACACACACATGTGTATATATACACGCTCTGACGCGACCGACCGGAGAGCGAGAACGGACAGTGCCCATCGCGGGAAAAGAACCGAGAAAAATAGATAGAGGTGGCGAGAGATGATACCGTACGAACCGTGGAATGTCGAGCCATCGATATTAAAACGTTCGCGAATGACAGTAACGTTTCCGAGTTATATAGAGAGCGCGAATCGCGAGAGCGCCGGTGTTATTATCTCGAACTCGCGCGAGGATGAGAGATCGTCGATCTCGAAAATTCATAATGAACACGTCGCAACGTTTATTATTTGAAAAATTGTGCGAATGATGTATTCTCGTCTCGCGGCGGTTGCAAGGAGAGAAAGAGAGACCTGTGCATCTGCGCGAAATTACGTGCGCCAAAGCAATGGCGATTTTACGAACGGAAATAAAAGCAGTTGGCGTTTATTTAATCAGCGATATTTTGCAGAAATAAAACGAGAAACTTCTTCTTGAATGGAGCGGCCAATCGCGCAATTGAAGCACTTCCAAATAGTTCTGAAGTTATCGCGCGCAATTCTATACCACGCTATATTTCTAAATTACTTCGAAACAGTAGGTATTCGTATTGCTTCTAACGATCTATCTATGAAAGCATGTATTTTATATATATATATATATATATATAACTCTTGTGCATAATTTAATTAAAAGATGAATACATATACAATTCCGACAAAATTAGATTAGTTAAAAAGCTTCCTCGATTCAAATTATCCCAATCTACTGCGCATTTCTTTAAAGCTTCGTTAAAACTTTCTATTGAAAGTACCTAAATTAAAATACTTTATACTTCCTGATTAAAATAATTTGAATCAACACTTTATCCAACGCGACTGGCGCTTTTGCGCGCGCGTCGTCCTGAGAATTTTTCCTGCATCTCGCGCGACAGCATAGTCTTTTACCAAGTTGAAATTAATGTGGCATTGCGACTAGCGCTTTTTTCCGCACTGCTTGTAAACAAAAAATAATGTATCAACTGTTTCAGTGCTCCGCCGTCTAACGAATAAGCGAGGAAACGATATTGTTCAGAAAAATGCTGCAAAATAACTAATGTAAAATTAAAAAAGAATTTTTTTTCTTAACCTAGTCAACCCTCTGGTGCGACTCGGCACCATAATTTTCTATTAATTTGGCATTTTGCAAGGACAGCGACCAATGCGTATGTAATCTGTTTTCATAAACTGGCATTAAGATAACTAAGATAAAGAGGTACCGACATACGAATTTATAACACAGCGTCATCATCTTATCTCGTCGTCCTTACTTAATGCGAGCAAATGATAGGGAGAGTCAGGGTATATCCGGGTCGATCCCACGGGACGCTCCGGAGGAGTCAAACTCAATCTGCAAATGGGACAATCCCATTTTCGACGCTTCGACGGCACTTGATCACTTTCCTTTAAAACCAGATCCCGTAAATGTTTTTTCCGTATATTTTCTCTTTTACGACCGAAATAATATAAAACTATACCTATGTTTTATTGTCGTGTGTAATGTTTCGGTGTGTAACAAAAAACTGAGTAGTGTGTACGTGAGAGTTATATAATTTTACTTGGTATTAAAAATTTTGTTTTTAATTAAAATTCTTTCAACTGCCTGCAAATCGTATACGTAGATACGTCTCAAGGTTTCGTGAAAGTGCGGTAATAACAACAATTTCGTCAATCCTCCAACAATGCTATCGCGATGGAGAACACGTAAGGGAACATTAATATAAGCAACAATTTAGAAACTTTTCTACAAAACCTGTACGGCATCGTCCAGAATGGCGATGAAAATTGTCTGGGCGATCATATTTCAGCGACGACAGCTCGCACAATTCACCGCCGACTCGACCGGAAACTATCCCGAGCGAATATTTGTCTCGCGGGTCATGTTAAGCGACCCAACGTTATTTTTTTTTTTTTTTTTTTTTTTGTCGCGCTACACCGGCAGAATTCGGCGTTGTCAACGAATCTAAAACTTCGAGTCATGTAGTGAATGTATCGATATCCAACGCGCGCGCGACGCACGGCGGTCGTTAGTGAGAGTTTTGTTCAACTCGCTTCGTGATTTTTCGAAACAACGAGAACTGAAAAACTCTTCCACCAACAGTGGCGGCAGATATGAAAAATCGAACGCATCACGTTACTAATGCATAAAATTAAAAGTTTGATAAAAGGCAACACATTGTTTTAACAAGTGTAGAAACATTTTTTGACAGATACATCGAAAGGTAATTATCGAGATCAAAAATTATATCAATCAAAATCAGATTAAACTGATGCAACAATATGCGATTAAAATCTATTTGCAATTGCAGATATTTTTTGTATCTTCGCTTTGGTGCGGTATTTTCGACCTGTAAAGAGGAAAATATTCTTTTCAAAGCGCAAGTACCTCATGTGTCGCGATATCTCTCTTTCGAAACAACACTACTAGGATAACTTTCGACACATAACAACTTCAAGTTCGCGGCTGCGAAGCCTAAGTCTTGTTTCGAAAGAAGAAAGTTTCGCGGTATGTATCCGACTTGTATCCGTCGGCGAGGATATCCAACGTGAGGATTTCACACACAGCGCTCTCAGGCTATTGCCGAGATCTCTGTTTTCGGTACAACACGTGTAGTTGCTCAAAATCTCTCCTCCCCTCGATATCGCGTTATAAAAGTACTCGAAAACCGCTCTCGCGTCAAAGAAACAAAGCACACGTACACTTCGCATAATCTTCGTTTTTGGTTATTTTTTCCGAAAGAAAGATGATAAATATATATGTGCGCGCGATGCGCGGATACCGCGGAGTAGTAGTCATAGAAATTGCGCATTTGCATGCGCTCGCGAAAGTTGATTGGAAAATTTGAATATACCTGTCGAACTGTGCTGTGCGCGCGCACCTGTAAAGTTCGAAAGGAGAGTGAGTCACGCCCGTGTCAATGACGATTTCATGGGCGAATCTCCACAATCGTTAACGGAGAATTCGTTTTGGTTGCTCACGATTTCCTGACAGTATGAGAAATAGAGAGAGATAGGAAGCCCCGATATGTCAACGTCACTGATATTCGATGAATCGGGACTGAAAATCGCGCTCGTGCACACACACACGCGCACGCACATCGAGGTATCGTATGCACATGAATGCATACATATATATATATATATATATATATATATATATGTATATATCTATGTCTCGCGTGGATATATATGTATATTACGCGCGTTGGTATGGACGTACGCGCGCGCGCGCGCGCAGCTAAATATAGGGAGCAACGTTCACACGCTCGACACGAAACGCGGAAGCGGCGAAATAGATTTTCGTTATCGCCACGTTCTCCCCGGTACGCGCGTACGACAGAATAATATCTCTCTGAGGCAGATCGTGCGCGCGACGACTGCCAAACTTCTTCATGGAAATTCGATATCGCGCGATACGCCTTCCGCGCTGATATTTTTAAAAAGACGCAAGGCATTTTCGCGCGTGATCGTCAGAAGCAATCTTACAATTATATACAGAAGTTCGGAGAAATTGTTTTGCGTTAACGCAAAATATATATATATATATATATATATTTTTTTTTTTTTTTTTGCGCGCGCGAAGAACCTTCTCCCTGCTCATGTGTGTTTACGTTGTTCGACTTAAAATATGTATATTCATCTCCCGATTTTCATAGCACATCATATTTTGCTGTGCGTCCACAGTGCGAGAGGAGATTGAAACGCAAACTTCAGGCAAAGAGAATTAATAAGACATAGCTTTTTGAGACAACATTAACAATCACGCTGCCGATACAACAAAAACATAATATCACACTACAAAAATTTTTTTCACTGTGACACAATTTTATTCTCCTTGATTCTTAGTATAAATATTTTCCATTAGATCACTTTGTGCAAGGAAAATTCTCGTGTATTCAACGGATTACGTCAATGAAACTCTCCGTGATTAACGAAAGCAGTAAGAGTGGGAAAGAAAAATTTCTTAAATGTAGAGAACAAATATTTAGAAATCGAGAATTCAAAAAAGAAGCACCCTTTATCAAATATTTATATATTACTAGCACAACACAGACGCGCGCTATTGTTGTTTTTATTTTAACGTGTTGTGTCAGTGAACACAACCTGTCATCGCGATAAAAAATGATGACAGCTAATATATACGTCTTACAAACCATATAATACCCATGAAGTACAAATGAGAGATATCAGAAATAACACATGAAAATCAAACTCAAAAACTAAAAAAAGGGAAGAGTGGAAAAACAACACGTAACAAGGAGAAGTAGAGAAACACCATATGACTAAAGTCACGTGACAAGGAAAAGAGTAAAAACGAGAATATTATATATATCATATATATAATATATTCTATATCTATATATAATACACACACACACACACACATATACCGTAATCACGTGACCAAAGTCAGTGACCCCGCCAAATTCGCGCGGCCGAGGTCAGTGACTCTCCCATCAAGGCCGCGCGGCCGAGGTCAGTGACCCACCTCCAAGGTCGCGCGGCTGAGGTCAGTGACCCCCCCATCAAGGCCGCGCGG